AGATATTAGCTTCCACAGTAGACTGTTTCTACTGTGCATGTTAATCCATAGTAAAGCGTATTTGGCATATTGAACTATTAGTTCAAGTATTAAAATCACTGAGAAAACTTTTTGTCAAACCCTATATTTAATTTTAATCCCCACAGTAGTTTCAGTTTTCTTTTCTTTCTAGTTTGCAGTACCACACTTTGGGTTGGGCAGCTGGACAAGAAAACCCAGCGATCTGACGTAATGTCCCTTTTAGAAGAATTTGGTCAGATTGAGTCCATCAATGTAAGTTTGGACAGTTTGTGTGAAATGTAATTCTCACCTTCTGTGACCAATGGATCATGCTAACTTTGTTTTCACTTTGAACCTTTACTTTGTGTTCAGATGATTCCTCCGAGAGGTTGTGCCTATATTGTTATGGTTCACAGACAAGACGCTTATATGGCCTTAAAAAAACTCAGTAAAGGGTCGTACAAAGCCAACCAGAAACCTACTAAGGTATGTGCTTTACACATTTGGATTTGTTTTTCAATTGCAAAGTTTCTTTTGCTTAACAATATCACTGCACCTAATTTAATTTTCTCCCAGATTGCTTGGGCTTTAAACAAAGGTATAAAATTGGCACACAAAAAGTTCTGGGATGTGGAGCAAGGGGTTACTTACATTCCTTGGAGCAAAGTCAAAGTTGAAGAGTTGGAGAGCTATCAGGAGGGCGGCATGCTGGACCCAGAGACCCTAAATCCAGGTAAATGCATGATATTTTCAGCGTGACCTCAATTCACATACCACAAAGTTTTACAATACATGTTTCCTTACTTTATCCTTGTCTTTGTTGGTACTCTAGAGTGGAATAATGCCAAAGAGATTAAGGGCCAGGCAGCTGTAAATGGAGCAATGGATATAGTACCAGATGTGGCTGTCAGTGCTCATGTTCAGGTAACGTTTTTGCAGTCTTTAAACACTTTCTTGTTGGTACAAAAACTTTTCTTTCCTGTTTTGGCCTTTTTGAGAGATTATTTTACAATAGGTATCATTGAAGTAATGACAAAAATAAGGTTTTATTGGATACACATGGAGCCTATCTGAATCATTTTGTATGCATTTCAAACTTAAAACACAAAGAAATAAGTGAAAGGTAAAGTTTAAATTTGATCAAATATGACATAAAAAGTTTTTTGCTTGGTATTGACCAGTTCTGTCAGTAGTTATTCAAACACTGGGAGAAAATAGCTTTTCTAGCTTGTTATAATTATTTTAAAACAAAACATTATGTAATTATGTCAATGACATAATGACATTAATGACAGACACAGTTCCAGCTCCTTAGTAACTGAGGAAGATCTCGTGAATTTTTTATTTGTTACATAAATTTAGAAAAGAACACAGTATTTGTGGGAGGATTACCTCTGCAAAACTGTTTTTCATTAAAAAAAAATTAAAAATCAACAAAAAAAAAAAAACATCAGGTCACTCAATTTCATACGGGGTTTGAAATATGTTGAATAATGGTCAGTATAAAACCTGCGGCAGATGGCTCCATTTTGTATAGAAATAAAGATGAGTATGAAATGAACAAATCTACAAAGGTATGAAATGCAAAAGAAATGGAATGACCAGCACCTGCAGAGAAATAAGAAAAGGTTCACATTTTCTGTGCACTGGGGCAGCATTTTATACAATATTTTAATTATACTATATGTCTCCTACTGAAGGCCTAAGAAAGCTACATGATAGCCTTACATTTGTCTCATTTTCTTCTTTTAACCTTTTGTACAAATGCAAAATCTGGATATTTAGGTGACACATTCTCATCTTTAATATTTCAAATAGCCGTTAGAAATGGACCTGTGTTAAAAAATTTGTATTGCAAGGAAACAGGGAGTTATTTATTACTAATTAAAGGTTTCTACACACTACAGTCAACTAAGACTGGTATAAATAAAGTTGCATTGCAAGGGAAGCTAATGATTGCGGCACTGATTGTTTAGCTACAAAATAATAATTTTTGTTGCGCCTTGTGGAGTTGGTGTTGAAAGCCAACCTCACTTATGTCCATTTATGGTTTTTAAAATCAGCTGATTACTTAATTACTTATTCTCTTACTTTTTGGTTCATTAATAATTTTAAAGCCAATAGCAGTTCTGCTATTATAGTATTTTGAAGGACTGATTTAAAGTCTTGTGTCATGTTTTTGTTGGTGCTGTGGTTTAGCAAACAATTAAATTTGGTCTTAGACCACCTTGCAGTAATTCAGATAGGCTCCTCTGCTTGTAGATCTCACTTTAAAAGTGCTTTTTTACTTCTTTCTTTCTTATTACGTCTTTGCATATATCTACACAGTAACCTTGTTCTGTAACATCTTATTCAAATAAAAATGGTAATTAAAAACTTTCATTATTGTGGTATGTGTGAAGGGAGGCGTTTCTGTTATCCTTTCTGTGCTCAGCACCAAGCTTCATTTAACACCAGCATTTCTTTAGCATTCGGTTTTCTGGCTAAATTTTAGATATGTCCTTTATGCTAATTCATGTGAATTTCATAATACTTCTCAACCATTACACATCAAGAGATGGTAGAATGTGCTGAACATGTATTGATATGTTACTGTGTCTTAATTTTAAATGAAATTCTGAAAGTATCCAATGACATGGAAAACAAAGATTTCCAACTTATTTAGCTTTGTAAAATGTAAAAAAAAAAAAAAAAAAAATTATAATAAGCTGTTTAAAAAAATGAAAAGACTAAATGAATGACCAGCAAATGACCCAAATAAAATTGATTATCAGTATTATTCCATATATTTTGGGACTGATTGGCTCAGCACTTTACCTGGAGAGTAAAAGCTGAAGTGCTTTACAAAGATCTTCAAAGCCAAACAAACTGTTGGCTGCTGGTGGGACATAAAGTTGTGACTGGGAAGAGGAGTATCAGAGTGGAAAACCAGGTAAGCTCACAAATGCGTTGCCTAGCCTTCTGGTTGCTAGTGGGTGTCTGGTCAGGTGATTTTAGAGACATCTTTAAACATGTTTTTATTATCTTTAATTACGACTGAGTATTAGGACCATACTAAGGAAAAAGAAACGCGAAAATAAAATTATAAGAGTAAAGTCGTAATAATGAGAATAAAGTCAGAATATTTTGAGAATGGGCATAGCATTATGAGAATAAAATCATATGAAAGTTATAACATGAGAATAATAGCTTACCAGAATAAAGTTGCAGCATGAGAGTAACGTAATATTTTTGTAACACTACGACTTTATTCTCATATGACTTTGGTCTCCTAATTTTATTACTTTATTCTTGTAAGTTGTTTTTTTATTTTATTTTCTTAGTGTGGCCCTGACACTGTCGTACGTATTAAGAGCCCAGAAATGTTTTTCCTACACAAAAGTAATAACTCCACCTTAATTTAATACTTGACTAATAAAGCTTCAATCTGTTTGTGACTTCAAAATAATCAACAATGAACAAGTAGTGCAAAATCCAAATTTTCAGTATTACAGTTAACTAAGTTTTAATTTAGATTGAGCATGGAGCTGGGCGGGGCTTGGTGCAAGTAGACAAGAGTTAAGGCTGTTACTTCTCGGCAACAAGGTCCCAGTTTTAAGACTTGACCCTTTCAAAATAAGGGCCGAGCTCCGAATATGACTGCAAAGTGTTTTGTATCGGTCATTTTTGGGAGTCGTGATAATTCATTAATAAAGCGGCAGCATCCTTTAATAGATTCAACTTCATAGAGTTGCCTTTGAGAGATCCGGTAACTCTCAAAGAATTTGCTTTGCTTAAGCAGTACTGCGAAGTTGGTCATCAACTCGGTAAGTTACCCAGGGTTACTAACTGGATATCTACACAAGACAAAACCTGGAGTTGTAATACAGGACCAATCACGTTGAGGAGTCAGGAAGGAAGGTGGCATGAAAAAAGACTAAATGCACAAATTAATCTGTTCGGTATCACAGACAAGCTATCAAAGGGGCAGTATTATGTTTTTTTCCAGGCAGTTGTTTAAAAATACTATAAATAGCAAATTTGACATAAAAGCAGTTTTACTGTGTAATTTAATGCCTTGAAACTGGGCCTCTGTCGCTTCAAGAAAGTTGCGCTCTTTTCAACACTCTGCCTTCACAAAGTCATCACAGCAACGCTCCTCTATTAATCCTTTAACAACATTTTACCAGCATAGCTAATATAATAAGCTCAGCATATGTGCAGTACCTCCAGGTGTTTGCTAATTGTTGCTGGCTAGTCTGAAGGATCTGAGAGGGGGAGTTGCGAGACGGGCTGGTCTGTGAGGCGGAAGCCAGGATACTGCAGGCTCCGAGGAGGAGCTGCGTCTCGAAGGCAGCACTAGGTTCACCCAGGTGTTTTGCACAGCTGAATGGTTGCAACAGGTTAAAGGATTTCTCAAGCATGCATGAAAGAATCAAGGCAACACTCCAGGTATGTTTTTGATGAGGGAATAACATAACATGATGTGAAACTCAAAAAAGTAAACTTTTCATAATACTGCCCCTTTAAAGCAGGAATGTATCTAACATTTTGTCATTGCACATTTAAAACACCAGAAACCCAGTTTTAATCTTAATCTCTGTGCAACAACCATGACTATTTAAATCCCTCATTGCACCGAATGATCTGCTAGGAAAAAATTTATTTAGTCCAACAGGTAGCAATACTGTAAAGTTTTAAGTTTATGACTTTCTAGTTCCACATAGAACATTTTATTGTTGTCTGTGATATCAGTGATTTATTTATTTATTTTTTTTTTGGGAAAATGGACAAGCCATATGAACGTGTACAAAATGTGCAGAAGCATTGAAAAACCTAGCAAAAGCCTCTGAGGAAGCAACTTAATTAATTACTAAGTAATTCTTTAATCTGCAGCTTCAAACACACCTTTTGGCACATAAGGATTAAGCCTTCTGAGATATGTCCTCTGAAGATTTTTTTCTGGTAGATATAACTTAGCTTGGAGGGGGAAAAAAAGAGGAAAACTGTTCATCCAGACTCATCCTTTTCAATTTGAAAGATTTCCATGAACTTGTTTCATGGTTTTTATTTCTAATTGGGACAAGTTAACATCTTTTATATGACACTCTGCTTTTACAGTTAAACATAAATTCTTTAGATCTTTAGACAAAAAATAAAAAGTCTACACTATCTTAAGATGATGGATTTTGGAGCACATATAAACCATCCAAGTCATTTTCTTGAGTTGTACACATTTTTAGAAGCAAATGTAAAAATCAGCACTCTTGTATATCATATTATCTAATCAAGTGTTTTTGTTTTTGCTGTGGAAGCTTCTTGCTCATATTAATGTCTGATTGTTTCTTGTTTTCAAAGCTGTGTTCTGGCAAGTATAGCAATTGGATTCGTTTGGTAATATTTCTGAAAGGAGAGAGAATTAAGAGTAACTTGAGGTTTTTAGACTTCTGTTATGGAGTTCAATGTGCAACTCTTCTTTATGACAAAACTGAGGTTTTTGAGCCTATTGTAGTTTTCCTTCTGGACTCACTAACCGGGTTGAAATCCTACGGGGGATTTCCATTCCAAATGTTTTGCTCATTATAACGAATGTTCTGCTCAGAGCAGTAAACCGGTTGGAATACATGGGAAATGTAAGCACAGCATGTGCAAAAACACATTACTGACTTATAACAGAAATGGATTTGACATAGTATTTTTTAGATTAAAATATCTGTTTTCACAAATGTAAATATGCAAGCCTTTCCTCTAGGCATTTGGCTTTAGGATTTAAAATAGTTTGTAGGACCAGCTGGATTGAGAATCCAGATCTGTCTGTGGACTCGGCATCATATATATATATAATTTTTTTCTTCTTTCTGGACGACAACAGAGAAAAGGGGCTTTTTTTTTGTTTTTGGAATCACATCAGGTGAGTCGGTTGCTCCTCGATGTGGATCTGGACA